CTTACTTGTTTCACTCGATCTCCTCCGTTTTGTTGCCATTTTTCTTGTGGTGTGTTTGTGTGCGTGTGTCTGTGTGTGCATGTTTTCGACCAAATTAGCTTTGCGATTTTATGTTCAACAAACTGTGACCAATTAAAAAAACACAAAAACGAAAAGAAAGAACTGTACGCGCGCGATCACACAAAAATGGAGAAGATCATCATCATCATGATAATGTGAGAGAAAAGACGCTTTAAAATATAGTCGATGCAGCTTGTACTCGTCTTCTTTCTTTTCTATTCGGCAGTTTTCTTTCTTGTTACGATTCAGTTAGCACTCATCATCGGTTATTCTTATTTTGTTGTTGTTTCTCATTTGTTTTTCGTTTTTCTTTTTATATTTTTTGGTGCGTTTTTCGCACTGTCTGACAAAACTATTTTACCAAATCCATCATGAGAATATATGTGGTGTTTCTCGATCGTTTTTTTATTTGCGTTTCAGTTGAACAAGTGTTTGCATTTGGCTTAAATACATACAAAAATGCTGTGTATCGCTTGACTGAGCATCGAACACCGAACACGAAATCGATGTCTGGAAAATGAAATGAGAAGCAAATCAAATATAACATAAACAGAAAAACTACAAATCGTCTTTGAAGAAGAAAAAAAGAGACCAGAGAACACTGTCGTATACGCAGAAACTTTCCTTTTTGCGTGTGAATTTCACAAGTTCTATTGTTTTTGGTCAAATCGCATTCTCTGAATCGAGCGCACACAATAAACAAAAAAACACAAAATTAAATCGCTTTTTTGTTGTTATTTTTCTTGTGTCGTTTTGTTAATTATTCCATTCAGTTTGTCTTTTTGTTCGTTTATTTTTCACAAATTAGAACCGAACTTAAGCATTTGTGTGCTCGGTTTTAAATGGCCGTTTGTCCCGGTATTTATCATGATTTCAAGATTTTCTCGATTTTATAGAAAACGGCCACAATTCTTTGTGTCTGTCTGTCTGTCTGTCTGTCTCTGCATATTTTTTTTTATATCTGCTTCAAAAATGTTGTTTTTGATGTAACTTTTTATGTGCGATTCAGACGATAACAATCTGATAGCGTCGTTCATGCGATTCAGAAATTCTATTACAACGAATGCGAATTGTGTGTGTGTGTTTTTTTTCTTCTGTTTTTCATCAATGTAATTGGATCAATTTTGTTATGTTGTACGGTGTGTGTGTGTGTGTATGTGTTTGCGTTTTTGTCTCTTTCTGGCCCCTTTGCTTCGAATCATTTGGTTGATGGCCATGCTTGGAACGGTTGGCAAAATAAAAGTGTATGTTCGTTTTGCAGGATTGTTTGCGTGTTTGCAAGGCATTTATCGTGTGTTGAAATGGGAGACATTCGAATCGAGAATTGCATAGAATCATTTTACTTTGACGTTCAATAACCTTCAGCGCAATTCATGTAACGAACATTTCAACTAATCACATTGAATCCCAAACTCTTCTGCTCACTCTATTCTGCACATTCACAATCTTTCTCCTTTAACCACATCGATCCTCATCTTGAGCGCGTGTCCACATTTTCAAAATGGATTTGAACGTAAGCAAGAGACACTTTGCAATTGACGCGATTCGGTGATGCGATAATTATGAATGATGATGTATTTCCCGGCCGAACGGGATCAATAATTGTCAGCACGAACACAAATCAATCGATTTTAAAGAACCATCAAGTGAATAGTTTAATAGTAGATTTTCTAATTGTCATTATCGCTTCAAACTCGACCGGTTGGATAAACGGTTGCGGATCTTGAACAAAAAAGAAGAAGAACATTGCAATACATCATATATCGATAGTAGAATAGATTCTTTAAACCACTTTTTATAGAGCGCACAAACAAGTCAACAAGTGATGGCACTAAGTGCGACCGGGACACTCTCATGCGTGTGGAAATAATGCGCATCGCTCTGGGAAACAAAACACTTAAGTTACTTCAAGAGAGAGAGAGAGAGAGAGAGAGAGAGAATACCGAGCATATCATTTACATTCTTTCTAATTTTCCTTGCACTAAGAGGTGTAAATCGATCAACGTTGCTGTATTGAGCAAGCTTGTCTTTTGTGTATACATTTCTTTTTTTATGTGCAAAAATCCGTTGATTTTTCTTTCGCTTTTTTTTCAACATTTCGCACAACAATTGTAATTATTTTTGTCGGGTTAACGACTTTAGAACAAGTTATTAGAAAGATCGAAAGAGAGAGAGAGTGAGAGAGAGTTGGAAAGAGTACTAAGTAAATATGAACTATTTTAATTAACTGTACTCACATATCCCTTAGAGTGTCTGTACACCCAAGCATATTATTACTTTGTAATACAATTTGTTGTTTTGTTCGTTTGCGTTCCGTCAAAAGAAATGAAAAGTTTTATTTCTGCGTTTTTTATCCATTGAGTGTGCCTGAGTACGTGTGTAAATCGTGTACACGTAAAATATTAAACTGAGACGATTGTCTTTGCAATGTGAAAAGTTGGCTTTTTTTGCTAACGACTTTGGTGGCTTGATTTCGCTTTTCATCTGTTACCGCACCCAAGTTAAGCGCAAATGCGTAGAGAAATATTTTACTATCGTTATTCACGTTTTTTTTCTTCAATTGCATTTGAGCGATTTTGTCTCTCGCTCTGTATATGCGTCTGCTTCCAGGTCGCCTGACAACTGATAGTATAATAGCACCCATCACACCAATTCGAATCGCACCAATGAACAATTGAACCGGCAAACAAACAAAGGCCATTAAAATCAGCGCACCACCACTTTCATTTATATCGAAAAGAAAAGCGAAAATTGCTCACATTTCGATCATCGTTTCGAAAACATTACAATAAAAGAAAGAAAGAAAGAAAATTTATTATTTAAAAACATTTTTCAGTTCAGCGCATTAAAATTGGACGGAGCGTGCGCGTGATCGTGTTTTGGCGCACTAGCGCTTCGCAAAACAATAAATTAATAAACAATTTTTTTTTCTAATTAAAACTGAAGAGTAGTGCATTCATTTTTTTTACATTTCATTTTCAAATGACTCAGCAATATATTTGATCTCATGCCGATGGTAAGCAGCACCAAATGCCAAAACAGAAGCACTTTCGTGCTCACGACTCCTAACCTCGCGCGATCTCTCAACATCATTTACACCTTTCGTCTTACCTAACTTTTAGCACAGTGTGCGATGGCAACTAAAAGAAGTTTCATAATTGCATAAAATCGCGCATCATTTTGTCTCAAAACGAAAATTTCATTTGTAGCACGATCTCATGGCAGCTGCCGAAATTCACTTTCTTCACAAATTGCAAATTGCTTAATTCTATCGATAATTTCAATGGACGAACAAATCGGTCCGGAAGTTGGACCTCCTCCTTTTACATTACTTTTAACTGGTTGCTTTATGACACCATTTGAATCGGACACAATTATAAAAGTGCTTTTACTCTGGAGAGAGTGAAAGAAAGAGATAAACCATATGATTATAATAATTCTCTTTTGTTATCGCCATATCGACCGAAACACTTTCAATTAACATTATTTTGACACATAAAAAGAAGGTAATTTTACTTGGTTAGCCCTTTAATTATGCAAGCGACGACCACAAATTATTCATTAGACATATCAGTTTAAAAACCATCTAAATTATAAATTAATGCTAATAAAATTATGATTCAATTCATCAAGTTAAAACCAGTAGCAGAGAAAAATGTATTATGAATTTTCACTGTCGATTTATCTGCGGCAAATCTGAAAATTTCAACGCGCAATTTCATTGTGAAATTTCAATAAAAGCCCCGACGCAATTATGTTTTTTCGTTCGTTCAGCGAAACAAAGTCGTCTAAATCCGGAACTAAAGAAAAAACAATATTATTTTATGATGACGGCACTGTGTGTATATCATAATTTAAAACCATTCTGCGAAGTAGATGCGCGCACGCCGAACAAAGAATAGATGCTTCAGCTTTGCGAATTGTTCATGATACCGTAAGATTTCATCAAGAAGAAAAGCTATTTTCCAAATAAAAAAAAAACAAGTAAAATGGCAATAAAACTTGTGATTGTGTGTGTGTGAATGCGAGAAGAAAATTAAAGCAGAATACGTGGCCTTAGAAGAATGGCAAATGTGTTTGCTTTGATGATGGTTTAAAAAGATCACTTATCTCTTTCATTTGTTTACTGCTTCGTCTTTTGAGCTGAAACTAACAAAAGAATATTTCGAACGCGAACAAAATAATGACAACAAAAAAAACGAAAGCAAAATTGAGAGTTAAATTAGAAAAATGTGCACCGTTCACATCGAAATTGATCATCGTATTGTTTGGCTGTCGATATTACGTTCTGTCAATTGGCAATTTTTGAGACTTTCATTTTTGCTTTTTATTTTGAGAGTGAGATGCAAATGTAGAACGCAGTTTAACAAACAAAACATCAATGAAAGAAAAACGCAACGTTTTATCCCATTCAATATTAATAAAATTAGCTTTTTCTATTCTACATTTGTGTGCAGCGCACAAATTTCTCTAGAACAACGTAAAAATGAAGTGAAGACATAATAAAAAAATATCATTATAACAAAGGCAACAGCACACAATATAATAAAAACAATATTTCATTTGTTTATAGTTGATGATTGTGCTGAGCGCATAGTTCCAGTCAAATTAGATGGTACAATTGACCGGGATTTGTGGTTTCAAAATTAGAACATGAGAAACAAAAAATATATACCGCATTTGAACAACTTGGTCAACTGCACATCATTTTCACCGGTTACGACTTTTGCGTTGAGTTTCTCGGTGTTGTTTGTAGTATTGAGATTGCGGCAACAATGGGAATTCGGTCTTGCATGATATTTGCATCGCGTTTGCGGTTGAATCGATTTGAGATCGATTGACTTTTGTTGTTCACATGATTTAAAATCGATTAAATTTGCACATTTCGCAAAATAAGCATTCATTTAATTCTTTTTTTTTTCTTCTTTTATTTGTTGCAGTGAAATTTCATATTGTTTTGGATTCGAAATGGCACCGAGTACGGGAAAATCACCGATGGGCACCCAAACCAGTTCTGGTTCGTCGCAGAAAATCTCAACCGAAATCTTAGTCGGTTGGCCTCCACAAAATGCACCACCAAAGGTTAGTTTGATTTCGAATGTTTTCATTTCATCGACATCCACCCACACACATACATAATAGTAATCAGTGCCATGCATTCGTAGCATGTCAAAATAATTTCGTTGAATACCAAAGAGTTCGACATTGATATTTGCGATCGTTGTGACCGCAACAAAACACTCAACGGTTTATTTCTTTTCAATTTTCGCGCGTCATACGCGATATTAACTCACTGATGCAACGCGCGAACGAACAATTCAAAATAACAACGAAAAAAAAAAAACAATCGTATACGGCAGCAACAGAATTGTGTTAGACGCTCATTATCGCATGAAGAAAAGATAGAGAGATATGTTGTGAATAAAAAAATCACACACTAAATTGAACTTGATTGTGGTTGGACGCTTGCACGAATTGCGCGCCAATGTTTATATATATTCAATTGTACACGCGCTCAATGATTTATATATCAATCGAAGCGTAGAATAAAGCGAGAAAAGAAAGAAGAGAGAGAGAGAGAGAGAAACACTGAACAGATAAACAAAAAGAAAGAAACAGAATTGGAAACGAAAAAGAAACACAGATTTGCCAAAAGGTATCAATTTCAAAAATGAAAACCAACGCGATATGTTTGCGGCTATGGCAATAATATCACAACATCCACCGATCGACATTTTGTTCATTGACTTACACTTGTACTACTTTTTTTTACTCTCTGACCGAACACTGACTGAATATATTCGATTCACGATCGTTTTGTGTGTGCTCTGTTTTGCAGAGAGAAAGAGAGCAAAAGATGGATCAGGCGAGACAAATAGATTTGGTTTTATGTTTTTAATTGATTTGTGCGTTCCGCAGTTACAATTTTTTCAATTAAACCGATCCATATTTGCCACAACAAGCCGCAAACATATCGAGATATTATTATTATAGTTATTTGTTGTTGATCGCAGTTTTATCACTTTGGTTTTAATTAGCAATCTCTTCAACGTAACTTACATATCGAATGCTGCAATTCACAACGAATTAATTCATTGCAGATGAAATCAAACCGGATGAAATGCACTGCGATCAACAACAACGCAATATAAAATAAAGGTTACAGAAAAGAGAAGAAAAACACACGAACCACCAACAAAACGCAAGACGAATATTCAAATGAGATTGAATTTTTATTGAACGCATCAAGTAACAAATAGTGCGAAATGAAAAATCGAAAGCGAGCAATTAATATCGAAACTACGAATGATTGCAAACAACAAGACGCGAAAAAAGAAGATAGTTTTCTTTTGTCTACGGAAAGAGTATTAATCATATTAATCAATTGAGGGATGATATATCCAAAGCATGTTTTTTTATTCAAAACGGAAAATATATTTTGTTGAGCATTTCATTCAATCATGCAAAATGTTGTTGCACTCACTGCAATTGGTGAATTGTGTTAAAATCCAAATGCCGTGTAAATGGCAAAAGTTGTATCACTTTACCGCAAATTTTATGGTGAACATGAACCTGAACATATGCCAAGTCGAATGCAATCTATAATGCAAGGGTACACATTCAAAGCGGTAAAAGATTTCAAGTGCACCGTTACCATGCATCATATTTTTCTTATTCTTCGTTTTTTTACTGCACGATAAGTGTAATTGCTTGGCCGTTGCTACTGTATGTTAACATTAATATTAAATCAAATTGAACGTGATATATATATACCAGCGTGAATTGGTTAATTACCCAGAATAATACCGTTGATGATCCATTAAAAGACATATTAACAGCAATCGCTTTCTTACAAATGGTGATTTGCACACATTTTGACCGCAGAACATGGTGCACTATTAAAGAAGCGGTGACCATTTTCGATAAATACAAAACGCAATGTCATTTACATTACACAAAACCAAAATTGGCGAAGAAAAAACAAATATAAAAAGTTTTCACCACTTCAAAAAATATGTTGAGCTCGCTTTGGTCTGGGCTTTGTATCGCTGAAAAAAATATACAAATGTACTCTGATAAATATAAAAAATGATATGAACTCACGTAAATGAATCGTTGTCGTCGGACCGAATGAACGTGTTACATTATATAATGACAAAAAAAAGTGCTGTATTCAGTCACCGTTGTAAATTTATTTAAAGTTTTTTTTCCTCCATTTCGTACGTGCATATTTCATCAAAGTTCACATTTGTTTGGTGATTTATGCGAAAAAGAGTGTCTATCAAATGATATGCAAATGTCGGTAAAGCCAAAGCGATTCTAATCCATGTTTTTACACAATGCATTTGTGTTTAATTATAAACAATGAATAAATTAGAAAAAAAAAAAAAGAAATGAGATGTGCAACTTTCGATTTCATCGAAGCGGAAAAATGAACGGCGACAATAGATGTCTGCAAATTTATCAATTAAAATCAGTAATGTTACGAATGTTTTTTTTTTACCGTCTATTGTTTCATTTTCTAGGAAAATCAACGTCCACCCGTTTACAATGCTGAAGATTATATTGTTTCGTTGAAGAAATTCGGACGACGCACTAGCGGAACAACAAATGGCGAATCAAAATCTATTTATGATACATCGGAAGAAAAACCAAACTCAAGAGCCGCCACATTACCGGCCAAACATTCAGCATTCAAGTAAGTAATTGTGTATCGTACCTTTCAAATTTCCGTGCGATTTGATCGATTTTGAGAATGAATGACATTTGAGATTGACAAGACGATATACGAAGAGGTTTATATGTTGATTGCTAAAAATAACAAAATAACAAAAAAACAAAAAACAAAAAAAATGATTCGACAAAATGAATAAAATCCATCTAATTAATCTTTAATCTGTTTTATTGGCGTAGGAATCCAATTCTGCCACTTCCCGATGAAGAATGTGAAATGTCTTTGAAGCAATTCGGCTCAATCACAGATTTATTGACAAAATTACGTGCTGATCTGCGTGCATCATTTCCAAGGTAAAACTACATATAAATCATATGGTAGAAAAAAATGATAAACATGAGCAAAATAAAATTTGCACACACTTAACGCCTCAGTTGACACCACCAACATAAATTCGAAATCCAAATTAAACAAGCAGTAGAAAAAAAAGTGATTGATCTCAAAGTCAAATTCCATATTTATTTTGCCATTCGTAGTGAAAGAGAGAGAGAGAGAGGAAAAAAAAATTATTGTAATTGATTCATCTAAACTATAAAATTGTAATCAAATGAAATGAAGAAAAAAAAATTATTATTAATAAAATTCCTGATGAAGAAACGATGATCGTTTCTAGGTCAAAGTAGCGAGCATTTGCATTTTTCGCGCATTGTTCATCTGACAAAGCTGATCGATTGTTGATCATTATTTGTTCGCATCATTCGATGTGCATGTCTCTCTTTAGCATCACTCTCAACGGTGTCGGATGGTATGTGCCTTTGCATATCTATAAATTATGGAATTCGAAACGCTTTTTCCTAAACATCGATCATTATATAAATTATAAAGCGCAAGAGAGACCGTAAAAGGCGAAATTGATTGGTTGTTGTTGTTATTATTATTATTGGGATTGGTAATATAAGAGATTTATTGCATTAGCCATCAACCGGTTGTCGGTATGTGTGTTGGGTTCGCTTGTATTTGTTAGTGTTATACATACGTAACTAGTGTGCTAAACCAATAAATTTTAATCTAGATTTGACACTCATTGTTCGAATCACAGAGATCGTAGACTTTTTCAATCTGTCTCTTTCTTTCGTTCTCGCATGGATTAAGACCTTTTGCCACATCAAACTGATTATCCATTCACGCGTACACTGTAATAATCATTTGGGAAATGAACGATTGGATAAAGCGTCAATGTCAAATCAAATAGATAGTTTTTTTTTGTTATTGCTCCGAGAGCCTATCTAAAAGAGCAAGAAAGAAAGAGAATTGGCGAAAAAAAAACGACGACTACGACGATGAAGAAAAATCACTCACTCCTCATCGAATTAATCACACACACACAGACACAATCGTATAATATTGCTATTTTTGTTGCTATATTTGGTTTGACAGTTTTGTACAGGAATTCGTAGCGGCTCCACTGGATGGTGTTTCGTTACTGCTTGAGGTGCTGCGATCGATTCAACTAAGCCAACAGAATGGCATCGGCCAAACGAATACAACGGGCAAAATGAATGCACAAACATATCAACGTCGGGCCCTTCTCGATGAATTGGCTTGCTTGTACGTAATCCTCAGCAAATGATATATTTATATTTTATTTATTATTTTTATATATATATTCCAATTCTTTTGTATTAAAATGCAGCGAAAAGATTAAAATCCATTTCGATTTTGTTGTTCTTTTTCGTTTTTGTATTCGGCAACAGACAATGCTTGAATTTATGCTGTATGCGAAGTCCAGAAGCGCGCATTCGAATCGGCACATCACCAGTTGGTTTAATGCCATTGGCTTCATCGGCAACGGGTCAAGGCATTCGATCGCGAATACTTGCATTGCAACTACTTACAACGGCCTGTGATAAACATGCAGCCGGAGTTCATAGCTCACAAAAGGGTGTTTACAATGGCCATACATCAGTGTCCGAAGCATTATCAACGTTACGTTTACGATGTGGTGAACCGGTTCGATTTCGTTTGTTAGCTGGCATGCTAAACAGTGGCGGTGGCACAGGTGAACTCCAATATCATGGATTGAAATTTATCAATACGTTTTTGGAAAGTGCAGAAAGCGTACAAAGCCGATTATACTTACAAGCCGAACTACAACAAGCCGGTTTTGATCCACAGAATATGTCAAAGGTGCGCACATCAAATCCATTCAATTTATTTATATTTTATTTTTCGTTATCGTTTTTGTTTTTATTTGTTTTCATGTGTATTTCCTTTGTTTTTGGTCGAGCGAAATTTTTTTTTTCATTTTGTTGATGTTGTTTTTGTCTATTTACTCATTTGAATTGCATTTATGCGCAGACGATTGCAACATATCGAAGAAAAAGCGAGATAAAAATGCTGATTTTCATTTAATCGTCTCTCTGTTTTTATTTTTTCATCTTCACAGTTAATATCAACGAGCTCCCAGTGGTTCGATAAATTGCGTGCAGAGATAAAATATTTCGAAGACATCAACATTGACATAGATAAATTGATGGTTCAAAATCGAGAGAGCGATAAGATACGCGGTCAAATGGCAGTGCTCGAGCGACGAGTTCAAGTGAGTATTGACAGGTCATTTTTTGTTGTCTAAAATATGCAATTTTATGACAAAAATGCTTATCTTATTACCAATCTAAAATTGTGTTATAAACGTCCGATTTTTTCCCATTGTTTTTTATCTTTGTTTTGGTTTGATTGCGTCTGGACAGATATTACAAGATGAAAAATCGGTTTTAACAACGATGGAACGTCGTCTGCAAGAACGATGCGCCGAACTGCAACGCGAAGTATTTCGATTGCAGGGTGCCCAGCACAATGACGGTTATAAAAGTCTTGAAAAGCATCCAGTTGCATTGCCACGTCAAGTATTGCCACGTTCAAATAAAAATGGTTCATCAGAGCACGAGGATGAAGGTATAAGTAGTTCCGAAACGGGACAATCACTGAGTCCAGAGCCAATATTGATTTTACCACAAAATACAACGAAAAAATATGCGCATGAATACATTAACAATAATAATCATAATAATGGTGGTGGTGGCGGTAATGCCAATGCGAAAGATGTGGATGACGTGAATGCCACAATCGAAGAGGTGATTGAAGAATTGGAGAATATTGTGCACAATGCCGAACAAGAAATAGCCGATTCAAAGAGTGATCGATGTAAAATATCGGATGCATTGTGTCCACCGCCACCGTATCATGCAAAATCGCCACATTTTCACAATAGCAACAATAAGAGTGTCACCGACTATAACAAAGAAAAAGAGATAGTGCCGGTGAATTTGCTACCTCAACCGCCGAAGAAGTCACGTTCTTTATCGCATCTATTGTCCGGTGGTGGTTCGGATTTCGATGATTCCGATTATGGTGTAATGATGGCAAACAATGAAACAAGAATCTCATACTATGATGATATTGATATGGAAATTGAGCATAGTCGACAGGGATATCGAAATGAGCCAGACGGTGAACCAAATCCCGATTTAATCAATCAAACGAGCACCAATCGGGAATTGCTCAATGTTATCATGGATGCACGTGAAAAAGATAATATATTTATGACAACACCCGGCCATTACACCAAATTAAAAATATCGGAACAAAGTTTGATACCGAAATCGGCACAAACACCACAAAAATTCAATGGCGTTTTCTTTATGACGGAAATGAGTACGCCGGCAAAATATCCAAAGCCGGACATAACGGCCGCATTGGAAGCGCGACGTGTTAGCAAAAGCATTGAACGTCTTGAATCGTATGGTAGCAGCGGTTTAGATTCAATGATTGACATAAAATACACCGACATAATTATGACATCGGAACGAAAACAGGAAATGCAAAATGCCATTTCAAAGGCGCCAAATAATTTTGCCGCACTACGTGATATGGCAATTAATCAAACATTTTCGATGCGAACTAAATCACCAACACCACCTGACGGTGCGATCATTTATTCCGGCGGCATAAAAACAAATCGATTGGCATTCGGTATGAGTGGAAGTAAATTAAGTGATCTACCATCTGGACTTTACTGACATCGAATGGGAAGAGAAAGAAAATGAAAACAAAAGCAAATCAAAACTCGTTATCTAATATCTATCTCTATATATTCTTGAAAGTTTTGCGTATCACTTATAAACATCAATTTACACAACTATTGTTCAAATGAATGATTGTACAAAATCTCATTTAACTTCACTTCAACGATCATTTCTTTAATTCTTTTTTTTTTTTTGTTATAGCACATATGTTTGTTTTAAAAGTTGATGCGTACGCCTCTTTTTATGATTAAATGTCGATTTGAATCTCGTTCAGAAATCTATATAAAACATTATGTGTGTACAAACAAATGTCAAATATAAAATCTACGCAAAATGAATGAAAGCTAAAACGCTTTTGCATTTGAATGAATATGCACTGAACGCGACACGCACATACACATACATCGCGTCATTTACGCTCGTGATGGAATGAACAATATACTGTAAATTTAAATGATTATTATTTATAACGCAATTATAATATTAGCTGAAACGCCATGCTCGTTTTTTAACAAAAATAAGGTAATAAATCACTGAAAAAAAACAATCAATATTTTTAGCTTTTAAATGTGTTAGGAATTCGTGCAATAACTACATTGTCCATGATAAACTTTATTATTCCAGTTTAGGTTAGATTTTTATATGATTTAAAATGAAAAAAAAAACAAACGTTGAACTAACAGTTGCAAAGCAAACAGTTCAATTTTGCAAAAATTATTTTTGCCGTTTAAAATCCCGTTAACATGTAGAATGAGTTCCCCATATCTCTTTTTTTAGAAAAAAAGGTGTCGGTTTTCATAGTTAACAGATTGCTATACATATCAAATATAAAAAAAGACACATTGTGCATTTTTCCGCATGTTCCGAGTGCTTCTCGATGCTCTGCGCTAATTGCAGAGCATCGTCAAGCAATTCATCAAAAGGTAAATTGATAATCTATACACCCATTTACTAAATTTTTTCATTTCATTTTTTTTCGTCATTCATCATTAATATACGTTTGTTGAAGATTTTTTGCGATAGGAAAAAACCGTTCAATGATGTACTCAAATTTGTTGTTTTTTTCGCTCGCTTTTTTTCTTCTATTTTCTATCATTTGATTTTTTTTCTTCATTACAATTACGAATTAGTAATTAGATTAGAGTGTAGAAACAAAATTAAGTTTAGCAGAGTTTATTAGACTTATGTATGTATTACGAGTATCTTTTATCAAAATATAATTTAAAACAAATTTATACAATTGTTTTCTTTTGCGTGTTTTCAATAAGACAGAACGGATTTTCTAAAGACATTATCAAATCTTCAAATCTGAGGTGAGGCCTAAATTTAAAAAAAAACTTATTCATTTCATATAATTATGACTAGACAAAAAATTGTACATATCATTTTTTTGATAAATATTAGATATTCACACCAAGAAAATGCAACAACAGCTACTGAACTTACACCAAAATAGACTCACAAACACAATCTCTAGTAATGTACTACAGAAACCCAAAACTGATGACAGTATTCATTAATGTATTTTTCAATCAACTCCCATCACTTTTTTCGAATTTTGTACGAAATCCATTAGGGTCGCTGGCATAAAGTACGGTCGCTCCAAGCCATCATTCATTTCACAGTCTTCACAGAAACACAAAAAAATCGTGTCAATCATCATCTAAACATATAAACAAATTATCACTAATGAATATCTAGAATTAAAAGATTTTCGTTAAATAAAGGACCACGTAGAGCTTGATGTCATTCATACTCATTTCAAAGTTCTCTACTTGCATTTAAATTCTATTAAGAAGTGACAAATTTAGATGCAATATCATGAATATAATATTTCTAAAGAAATACATGCTCCTTTTCGTAAAATATTTGTGATTAATTTACCTCGTAAACAGTAATAAAACAGTGCGAAATGAGATAGGCAAAAAAGCCAGCCAGAGTAAGAGGTACCCATATGTGATGAATTTCGGTTTTTGAATGTAATAGCTCCGTACCACATAAGAGTGTGATCGCTACAACGAATACTTTGCCCAGGAACAATACGAAATCACCAATCGTATTTATCGTAAAAACTCGCAACCTATTCGACATCAATTTGTTGTATGCCTTGGAACCAGCTCGGAAAAATGGATCTCCATATATTGCTGCAAAGATAACAGAGTTTTGTTCAAGAAATAAAACTAGTGAAATTTTGGATGCAACGCTTCTGTAAATTGTTGAGTAACGTCAAAGGTCAAATTCAACTATTGTACTATAATTAAATAGAATCGTTTACCTGTTTCAATGTATGCATTTCGATTGATGTATTGTAGACAGCTTTGGCAGCTGCCCAAACAGCATTGACATGCTGTGGTACAACATTGAGTGGCTCGATTTGCGCTGCCTCTTGTATAGTTCTATTTGCGCAATGGATTTCAACAATTAGAAAAAAAATTAAAAAATTGTGATATCAATATGGATATTTACATCTGCCATTTGTAGCAATAAGCGAAACATTTGAATTAGGGCAATCAAAAGTGAGCCCAATGCCACCGTTCCTAAATGATAATGAACCAAATTACTAAAACTGGTCAGGATGGGTGAATCTAAGTCATTCTTATTCCTGCCATGAAATGACAAATAAAAATATTATTATTTTATTAAGTATTATTTACTCGAATCCAATGTTTTGTGTTACCTTGCAAAGTACCAAACCGCAACCGCACCAGCGATGGCCATATGTTGACAGCCAATTGAAAATTGAATCAACCAAAATAATGCCATCATATTGTACCATCGAGTGGCTTTCATCGTATCATCTTTGATGAACTTTGCATTTGTAGTATTTTGTATGGCTAGTCTGCCGGAGCTTTCAATCCAAATGGAAAAATAAAGCCACAATGCAATCACACCAGCTATTGCGATAAAAGTCTAAACAAAACGAAAGAAAGCTGAAAAGAGTTCTGCCAAAGAAATTGAACCAAGAAAAAATCAATTTTACCAAAATTGGTTCCAACAGTAACAATGGCATGTCAGATGCGGCCTTTCCCGCCTCTTTGAATAGAACAATCACAAGTTTTATGCGTTTACGCATAAAAATGATCGATACAATCAAAGCAACAGTTATTATTGTGGAAATGATGGCCAAAATCAGAAAAGTTTTGATACGTCGCTTTCCAATGGTATCTCTTGTGGCATCACGAGTCTCGACCATGTAGTGAATCCTTGAATTTAAAATAAAAATAGGAAAAAAATGTGTATCCAAATGGTTTTCTCCTCATGCAATGAATATGTGCACCACTTGATTACCATAAAAGAGCCGATGCTGCAGTGAATGCAAAGATAACGCCAATCAAAACTAGCCACACAATGACGCCGGCCAAGAACTTGAACATCACCAATGTTATGATAGAAAATACTATTTAAAATGAAATGAATTAATAATTTGAAATGCAAAAATATTTCAATCAATAAATACCAAAGGCGATTGCACACATGTACAATGTTTCTTTCCATGATGAATAAATGTCCTCGGCGACCTCCTGAAATGTTGCAACAAATTCAAATTAATAATTTGTTGATTATTCCATCATTTTTTCATTATCATCACTTTTTTTGCACCAAAGAAACCAAAAATGATGAAAAATTAATGTAAATTCATAAATTTTGATGAACACCACACCTGGAAAAAGTCCTGTATTCCCGTTTTTGAGGTGAGTGATTCCTGTTGATCTATCTGTACCTGTGATGGTGTTGATGCTGACGGTGGCTGTCGTTGCGGTACACATCGATTTAAAACAGTTTCACTGCAAAAATGATGGAGAAATTCACACGAATGTATCGTTTTTTTAAAACTATATTTAATGTTGAATAAGGAGAAACAATATACGAACAATCCAGAATAATTGCTGCAGTTTTCAACACAAATGCGATTGACTTGTATGTGATCACTGTCAACGGAATCCAAGCTCCATGATTGTACACGCAAGTATTTGTGCATTGTCATATCCATTCCGTGACAATTCGAACCATTCACCTCAGCAAATATATTGTTGCGTCCGCAAATATTGCCGCAGTTATCATATCCATTTAAAATTCGATACATGTTGCCATTCAACATGCAATAACCCATTAATCCAAGCTAAACAACAAACGAAATGGATAACACGTGGAGAATTATTTGTTTGATTGATTTTCTGCACTTTATTTTGTCGCTATGATATTTATTGTTTTGCATTCACTTTAATTACATACCCATACTGTGATGAATAGAATGAACGTCAGCAGAAATACGACGTCCGTGTGCGTTCGATTTTTACATAGAATATTGTCAAATGCATTTTGAATCTTTTGAGCCCTTTCCTGAGCAAAACAATAATCCTTTTTTTAAATATGAATAGCGGTTTCATTTCATTTATTTTTTAAATGAATAACTCGATTGTTTTCAAAAACAAATGAAAAACGAACGTCTCAGAGAGAAAACACTGCACAAGTTTATTGTGTTTTTACCCTTACAATTGATTTAATTCATTTTTGTGATTAGTTAATATAATAGAAAAATATAAAATTAAAATGAGAGCAAAGAGGATATGATAAAGTATCGTATTTACATAATTTGTCACAAAAACAGAAAATTCGAGATATCGTATTTTTGCTTTTACTTCAATATATCATTGTGGTAGTTGCGTTTTTCCAATTTGATCATCGAAATGTCATACTTTTGCGATTAATTTATCATATTTTTGCACACAGTAAAAATATTTCGTGATTTTGCTCTGAGACGTTCAAATATGTATGCGATTTTCAATTAAAAATTTAACTCTGGTACACAAAAGAACACAGCACAAAGCTTGAGTCTCAAGCTCATTCTTCAATGCATACGTTTACAGTATCGAAATTAAAAATCACTCGTGTACTTACATCCTCTCCTAGTTCTGGTGCAACTCTTGCTTTATTCGAACTCCCACTCATAACAAATTAAAAAACGAGTGTTCAAACCAAAATCCAATATAAAATCAGATGAATTGCTTCACAAATTTTCAAATACAATTTTACACGTCAATAACGCACACAAAACATTCATAAAAGACAATTCAAAGCTTTTAAATTGTTCCCAAACAAACAAGCATGCTGTTTCACCGTCGATTGTATACTTAACCGTTTGGTGTCAGTGATATTGATGTTATAGCATTTTAAAAAAATATATGAATTGTTCTAGTTCCATTAAAATACTTGACGAAAAAAAAAGAATTTTGAACTAAATGACCTAAAAATCATGTTTGAAATGTGTCCATTGAGAGAAGCGAAAGTGTATAGTTTCACTCTAAACGTCGTATTTGACTATGAATATTTAATAAGCGATTATTTGGTTCTTAATGCAATGATGGTCAACGATGCACTTTTTTGTTTCTAAACTTTTTCGTAAACTATATTTAGCTTTCGGTAATGATTTATGCAACAATTTAAATATTCACATGGGAACTAGTGGATAATAATTATTTAATGAATTTTTAGTGGAATGTCCAAGCAACAAATACAATTTTTTTTAAGACATCACAAAAATGAAAGTGGACTCGATTGACTAAAAAACAATATGTATTATTTTCACTATGTCTCTGGTGGTATTGTCAAACAATGAATCGAATCATGATACATGAACATGATTTGCATGTCCCAATGCCGCCGATATAATTATATCACATTGTCTTATCGCATAATTACCATCACCCAATGTGTAATGTGATTTTTATCGATATAGATAGATCCAGACTATATTCCCCGGCCATCATATTATATACATTCACCATTTGTTGGCTAAATTAAAAACAAATGTTTTTCGTAAGTCCGCATTACATAACGTGCTTAAATGTGCTCCGAACATGAACAGGTGATTTTAATTATTGGGGTCAGTTAGAATTTCTGGGTCAGACATTGAAACCCAAAATTTCATCTTCATCAATCAAAGTCTCGAAGATTTGAAATTGAAAAACCTTCTCATTTGGTGGATATTATGTAGTTATTTTCCGTAATTTAGCTTATGACTCGATTGAATATTAAATATTTGATTCGTGCATTTTTTTGAACGAACCTTTATAAATGAACATCTTCATAATTTGAAATTAAAATGATGAACTCGATGGTATTTGCCATCTTTTTCTACCATTATGACTCTTTATATTTGACAAGTTCTAATATGATGGGGGTATATGGGTATGTAATTTGAAATTAGAAAAACTTTATTTAGTGGATTATGGTGCAATAGACTAATCCTGTGGACCTGTGTACTTATTTTTGAGATGATTGCTCTAGAATAAAAACAGCATATTAAATGTTCGCATATCAAAGCGAAACCAGACGTTTTTCTCATTTGGATTTGTTGTTGTAGTTTGTATGAATTAAAATATGAATACGTAATCAAACGTCTTGTTTCGCTTTGATATGCTGTTTCTATTCTAGAGCAATCAGATGTAGTACACCAATTCATCAGTTTTTTTTAAAAATGTTTTTGTATATTTAAGCGCCTTTTGTTTTGTACCCGTGGTACGTGGAACTGAGACTTTTTTGTCCAATACCATAATTTCACATTTTCACTATCCAGTGTGTATGCATCCATAATTTGAGTTTTTGTAGTGGACATCCAAAAAAATATCAAATTATGGCATTGGACAAAAAAAAGTCTGAGAAAGGAACAAAATTCGACAAGGCTAATGAGAATCATGACTCCTGGTCATTTTTCAGTCTCGCAAATTAGTTTCAAATACTTTTCAAAGTAGAAGTGGAACCTATTAAATGAATTTTCATGGAATAGCAAAGAAAAAACCATTACAATTATTATTTTAATACTTTATTCAATTTAAATTTACAATAATATTACTTTCCAAATAAAAATCGGAAACGTCTTAAAATCAAAAAAATATATGTTAAGATCTACTTTGCTCACATCAATTTTAAAAGATTGGAATAAGTAATTTAAATCACTTCTTTATATGTTTTTTTCTTCTTCCCTTTTTAGTCTTGAGTACATTGAAATTTAATAATTTTTTTGTTTAATTTAAAAAAGACTAAAATGATGTTTCATGTGATATACCAATACTAATTGGCGAAGCTAATTTAGACCCAAGGATGCCAAGCAGGATCCATGCGACAAAGATTGTCTGGATTGTGTGCGGCCTGTACAAGTGTGCTCATTTTATTATTTTCGACATTATCGAAATACGAAATACTGTTGAGTCGGCCCATAATCGAGTTGACTGCTTTATTGACAAACACAATTATCTTCTCCATATCGACTTTGATTTCGTCATTCGATGGACTCTCTGGATTTATCTCACCACTTGCTTCCATTTGCATTTTTTCATCCTTCAGACGCTTTTTCTGCAGCGCTATGATTTCATCACGCAAAATTGCTCGTAGAATTGTCGGAAGCTGTAAAAATTAAGCGCAAAAATTGAATTTAGAATATGTTTTTGTTAAAATGAATAATCAATAATCAACAAATTAGAAATGTATGAAAAAAATGTACCTTAAAGTTTGGTTGAACTAAGCAACGTGCAGTTACAATGGCCGATGCGGTCAATGGTCCCGTGATGCCAATGCTCGACAAAAATTCCACGATATTTGGTGTCAATCGGAATGGAACCGCACGGTTAGCACCTAATTCATCGGTCGCTTCATCGATATCAAATTTAAAGTACGAAATATTTATGAGACCTGAGTCTTGATGAATGTACATCATATCGGCATTCGTCGCGGTCAAGTGTAATGCATATTCACATAAGCATGCCAATGATAGTTGTAGTGTAAACTGAAATGAGAATAAATAAATGCGATTATTTATAAATTAAAATCTATTGAAATTCAATCATTTTGAGTAATTTCAACTTACCATTTTACGGAATTGCCAATAGTCTGTTGCAGAGGTATAATTTTTAACAGCCCAATCTTTCAAAATTGTCTTCGGCACCATGGATGTTTGTACTTCACGTAAAATATCACGTAAAACGGTGTGTGTTGTTTGTGAGCCTCGTGCTTGTACATCGGCCAAACGTTCATAGTATCGTGCCAATGGTACATCATGTTCAATACCTAATTTAGAGCAACCATTTTTAAAGATGTCCAAAAGTGATAAGCTGCTTGGATTATCTTCAACCAAACGCATTTGTGGTGAGACGGCAACCACTCGCGGCACAGTGATGTGTAAGAATCGACGTGATGTTTCTTTTTGTTTGGCCAAATAATGATTTAACATTCGAAGCAATTGTAAAACACGTTCTTCTCGTCTGGCATCACCCAAACCGGAGTCATTGATCACCAAATATGGATAGACTTTGCCATTCGTTCCACGAATAAATAGACGACGAGCGGCCGTGTTGTGTTTCTGAACGACTTCAACGCGTGGCATAAACCGTGCAATTCGAATGTGATAGTGCGAATGACGCGGTAGTAGTAGTTCACCAGGTAGTTCAACCTCAGCAGTTTTCTGACTGAAATTCGATAAGTATCGACATTTTTCTTCAATCAAAAATGATTTTGGCAATTGTTTATTTTTCGATTCCAACACTTTTATCCATTTCTTGAGTTTTGAAATTAAATTATGCAGTTTCATCGATTGTGGCTGTGAATCAAAATCGAAATCCATTGAAAATTGTCCGCGCATTTTTTGGAATACGGGATCTTGTACAGTCGCCTGTGCACGTTTTGCAAGCGGATCTTTGGCATCGGTTGACGCAGCTGAATTCGATATGTTTTCAATGCCAATGCCAAATGTGGCAATCAGTTTTTTAACAAAATTGAGTGTGTGCGGTGTTATCTTAGCCTCGTTCACGGTTCCACGGTTTTCAAATGCAATGGCATAGCATTTGATCAGACCCTGTCGCAATTGTCGCAACACTTCTTCATACCAATTCTCACGCAACCATATCATCTGATCCACAATACCTTCCAATGCACTGAGAATGGTTGGATGAATTTCACGTTGAACATGCATCACTTTTGAGCAACGCCACATTGGCGGTGTCGCACGTATCGGACGCGGATTTGAACTCTGTGGTTGACCACCATTTTGTTTTTCGGTGGCTTTTTTCGTTGTTCTTGCCTTTTCAAGTTGCTCAATTTTCAATGTTAAATACAAGGTTCGAATTGGGAAGTAAACGGCTTGCGGGAACATTCGACCAACCTGAATAAGATTAAAGAAACAATTATTAACATTTTTTTTCGCATAATTCTAGACAGTTGAAAGAACAAACATGTAATTGATAGCAATGACTCTTACCTGACTCAATAAATTCAAAATGGCCGTCCCTTCGTACTGAACCAAACTGCAAAGCAATTGCTGAATCCACGGTAGCCAATGTAAAGGTGGAACACCAACAGCATATTTATCAAGCGCTTCCATAAGAGAAGATTGTTCATCGTCATAAGACAATAGCCAAAGCACTTTCGCCAAATATTTTCTAGATTTGCTTTCGTTTTGATGTCGACACGCATGTAAAAAGCAAATCATCGCACTAACACCAAGATGCATTTTTCGTGATTCTTTGGTGAATATTTGCTCCAAATAATCACCCCATAATGCCCATGCTTTGATCAATGTGTCATGCATAACAGTGGCGGCACTGAATGCTTTGTTTGCTTCTTCCGAATTGCCACTTTGTGCCAGTAGTAAACCCTTCAGTGCTGAAAATTCGGCGCTCATTTCACGTGAGAAATATGTCAGATTCGTTGATTCAATGACCTCAAGGGCCTCAGCCAATTCGCCACGACCATTCATAGCGGCTATTTGTAAATAGCATTTAACCTGTTGTCGAATCTTTTGGAAACAGTCAACAATTGGCACCGATGGTATTGTATAAATGCGTGATAATGTGTCTTGACACACACCGGTTAAACCATGTTTGCGTGCCATTTTACCGAAGTGAATAATTGCCTGTGCCGATGCATGAACGCCCAACATACTTTGATTACTGTTTGTTACAACGTCCGGTTGTTTTTCTAAATGTGTTGTAATAATTTGATAGTGATGTTGACGCCACGTAAATATATCGCTCCAATGTGACAAATCATCAGCAACGACCGGTAATCGATTGCGCCACGTTTTAACAATGGCTTTCATGTCGTGCAACGATGATATGCGACTTTGTTGTAAACCAGTGTGTATTTGGCATGCTTCTTGGAGTTCCATAATTTGTTGAGCGGCCTGCAGCAATGGTAAGTGAATATGAGATACAATGTGTGGTAATCGACGCCATTCACGCATACAAAATACCGATGCGATTTCAACGTATCGTTCAACGGTTTGCAATTGTTGTTCATCTGGATAGAGAATTGCCAAGAAGCCACGATACAAATTCACTTTGTATCCATCCTTTTTTGGGCTGGCGTGTTCGACACGGTTCAGTGCTTGTTTCATAATGTCCCAATCAGGTACACGCCATGCACTTTCCATGATCAAAAATGATTTTTTATCTTTGTGCATTTTAGCATAGTCCAATATAATGTCCCATTGATTTAGTTCTTTTGCACATCGTAACCAATGCGTTTCCCATAATTGAAGTTCACTATTCATATCGATTGGTGTTGGTCCGCTGGCCGCTTCTTGTTTGTATTTTGTCATGACCAAATCGTATGCACCTTGTGCTTCTTCAAAGAAGCCCATTTGTTCGTAGGCAATTGCTTGATTTGTTTCCGGATATTTTGCATATTTTTGCCATAGTCCAGCCCATAGATCTTCTTCATGCAACGACGAATACATATGCGACAATGGATCGAAAATGGCTGCCTTACTCATTTCGGTGGAACTGTAGTCGGTGATATCGGGATCAGCGTATTCGCCCAATTGTTCTTGTTTATTTGGCCATTCGTTGCACATATCTTCCAATGATAATGTCATTCGATGCCATAGATTGTGCGCTTTACCAAGATATGTCATTAGATTCGGAGGTAAATGAACTTGAGGCTGGCACCGTGATAATGCTTCGACAAAAGTATTAATAGCCGTTGGATGGCAATCTTTTTGGGTGACATGAGTTCCGGACGATAAAAATGGTACCATTTCACGAACCAATGATTGTTGTTGACCTTCATCCAAAATGGACCACATACGAGGGAATATGGACAACCAAACACCTTCGGCTAACGGTGTATCCATGTGACACAATTGTGCGCATGCCACCAAAAATTGTTCGGTACGAACTTTTCGATTTGCTTCCAGAAATTCAGCTTGACGACTTATTAATTTAACTAGTGCTGCATTTCGATTGGCAACTGGACGTTCACTTTCTTCGCGCCGTGATATATTCAAATCAACATTCATGTCCATATCGAAATTGTCCTCTTTATCTTCAATATTATCGAATACATCCGGTTGATCGTTGTGCACTTGTGTATAGATGACAAAGTCTTTTTTCTCTTCCGAATCGGTGAGATTAATGACCGATGAAATGCTTGGCAATAGATGGGTGTCATTTGCATTTCGAATTTGTGTTGATGTATTTGCTGTTAAAATCAATAATTCAATGCATTGTTTTATCCAATAATGTTGACCAATTGCGTCCCATGCTTGTGAACAAACAATATAAAGTAGACGATCGTGAAGTCGTCGACGCATCGAACCATCGAAAATTTCCAAGAATTTGGCACGAATTGCAGGTTGATTGCATCGCAATCCACTCAAAAATGCTGATTCCAATTTCGAAACCAATTCCGATTGCTTCAATTGATCGTCACGGTAAATGTAATTTATTAATTCCAAAAATTGTGCATTCAATTCTTGATCGTCGGAGAATCGTTTTTCAACGTAATGCATTAATTTTACCAGCAAAATTGATTTTTCACGTAATGTTGGTGCTTGTGTTACGGTTACACTGCTCGATTTATTTTTCATCCAATCTTCAATGATTTTAACAATGGCTTTCATTACTTTTACTTCGGACGATTTTTCGATGAGACCAACTAGAATGCCGCCAATGAAAAGTTTACGAATTTCAACGCCCATAACAACAACACGATTTTTCACCAAATCCAAGGATAGAATTAGCAATTCAAGTGCAAGTGTATTACTATTTGTGCCATCGGCTTGACACTGTTGAGCGGTCTGATGATGTGGTGATCCATTCAAATGTTCCTTAGTCAATCGATTCAATAGACGCATGAAGGGCATCATTAAACGATCAATATAGCTTGGATTATTCATACAAGCGGCCTTCAAAATCATTAACGTTCCAAACAATGATGACGGATTTGCCTGTGGACTCTTCTCAAATGTGGCCAAACCTTCAAAGATCATTTTACTGATGGTTGCATATAAAACTTCCAGTTCTTCGTGTTTGTGGAACGCATCGGTGGGGAAAAGGCCCATCAAACGTGATAATAATCCGTGCATAAGACGTGTAACTCTAGTGTTCGAGCATGTAACGCATGCCGAAAGTCCTTTTTGCAATGGACGGAAAATGGCCAAAATTTGTTCTTTCTTTAAAACACCGAGTAAAAATGTAAGAAGTTCAAGGCCAGTACAAATGTTTCCAAAGTTTGGCTGTGAACTTTCAACGCTGCTGAACACCTTATCCAACCAATGCAATTTCAAATCAATCGGTTGAGTCCAAACTTCTGGTTTTAATGCCATTTTCAATAGGGCAACACAACGACGCGATAGATTTTCACCTGGTGTCATGGCGCCGGGTGTTGGTGATGCATCGTTCACCTGACACGATAATCGGAATAGGAAATTGATGACTGTGTCACAGTGATGCTTCTCAATTGGCTCAAGCGATTCAACTTTTGCGGCTGGTGGTAGTTGACTTGTACCGGCTGCGGTCGGTGTGGATCCACTATCAACTGCCAATTTTTTACGCTGTTGTTCACCATCATCGGGACTAGAACGTTTAACAGCCGTACCTGAATTTAGTGCTTCATTCAATTCGTCGGATATAACAATGCCATTGGCTTCATTCTCTTCTTTGATTCGTTGCAATTCCCATTTAACAATTACTTCGGCCAATTCAACGGCCAATTTACGATATTCAAGCGTTGCGGTTGCTGAAAAGCCCAAACGTGTAATGGATGTGATCATATGTTGTACAAGATTGTGTCGAACGGGATAGTAGACTTTTGAATGGCGTACCACCAATTGTAAAATATGGAATAGTTGTTGCATCGAATGTCCTTCTTCGACAATGATTTTCTTCGTCCAATGCGTTAACATTGTGTGCCCATCTTCCATACGCAATGGCATTGCCGGTGTTAGCACTTCAAGCGATTGACGAACAACCGATCGAGCTTCGATTGCATGCCCTTTTAGCAACGAATGGAATACTTGCAATACAATTCGCTTGTGAATTGCGAGCCGTGCAATTATATGACTTAGCAACAAATGACCATGATAACGTGCCGATGGATCGACACAATTTTTACCCAGCAAACAGGGCCAAGCAAATGTCATCAATCGACGTAGTTTATTGCCTTGGCGTTTATTATTCGAATCACCATCGTGGATGTGTGGCGATGCTCGTTCAACCAAGAGGCATGCAAATTGTAGCAAAGCTATGCGCACAGCATCATCATGCTCGAATGGCTTATCCGGATCGATTACACGACTGATGAATACAGACACAACATTGTTTTCATCTTCTTGATATGGTGACGGTGGTGCACCGATCAATTTGACACCTTCACCCTTTTCAAAGCTCATGGCAAAGCATGGAATCAAAATTGTGGTCAAAATTTTCGCTTTTAGCTCTTGTGACAATGCTGGATTATGGAAATTTTCAACAAAATGGAAGAACACTTTACGCTTCCAATCAACGGTATAGTTCTGTGCAACGGTATTTGAGAGGAAATCACGTAGAAACTGAAATGAAAATAAGCAGTTTTTTTTTTAAGTTCCCTTCAATCCGATGAGTATATGAATCATTGAAAATTACCTGGAAATCGGGAATGAAGCGCAAGCACAACGCTTTCAATAGCATGAACAATAAATCGATGTCTTCGGTGTGATGTGTAAAGTATTTTAGGAAAATTTTTGAAATCAAATGCCACAGATCGCAAGCTACATTTGTTTCGCAACTCTGAAATACGCCAATAAAATCATATTTTAAGGATAAATTGTTAATCAAACTTGTTATTTAAATATGTTGCTTTTCGCTTACCTTATACAAATCAGTTTGCCAAATATTTTTCAATGCATTTACTAGCTCCGTTTGATCGGCGATCCAATTTTCATCAAACTCGATAAGTGTTGTAATCACAACGACCGCTTGATGTTGTGCTTCGTAGCGATCTTCATGTGATGCAAGAATAACTTGACTTTGAATAGTTGCGATTCCATCATATGGATTGCATAAAATCAATTGAATCAATCGATTTGATCTGGTTTGCATAACATTTCTGAATTCCTGTCCGCTTTCATGTTTCAACAGATAAATAACAAATCGATTGTTCTGTTGATCCTTAATGTTATTGTCGTTCATCAGTAAATCGATGGTGTCGCCGGGATATCGGAGTAGAAATTTAACTAACGGTTCACGGAATGGGCAAGACGGTTCGATCATTAGATTTTTCTCCGTTTGCAGAATCAATCGGCACAATGTTTCAATGAATTTATTTGTGGCAGCTGGTATTTGGTGGAATATTCCCAAAATTGTGGCAACTTTTTGTTCATTTTCGCCGGTTTTGGCAATTGCCAAGAAATTCTTTCCTTTATTGGCTGTTATTGAATTCTCGAGCATTTTGCAAATGTGCTGCAATAATTGTTCGCACAATTTTTCATTGAACATCGACGGGAACAATCGTGTCAAATACGAAAGACGTTTTGTTCCATTCAACGTTAAATTACGATAATCGCCGAGTGTTAAAAGCAATGGTCTCATTGCGCTGTGAATCTGTTTGATACAAGGACAAAAAAGTAAAATGATTATATTCAGAAAAATGTTAAATAAAAAATCATTAAACTCGAAAAATGTTGAAGAAATGCTCTGGATTCAAGTGGTAGTCTTCGATTTTTCGAAAGGTCTTGTTAGTCAAATAGAAATAAAAAAAAAAACAGAATTGTACTCACGATTTCTTTGTCAATGGTGTAAACCGATAAGAATTTTTGCAAACATTCAAAGGCGGTTTCTTGTAGTTCGGTATTGTTTTTCTCCAATGATTTGAGAAGCAGTTGTAAGATCTTGTCTCGGTTCGCTGCATCAGCCAAATAATGACAAGCAGTCAGAGTTTTCAATGCACTCTTTCGCAACGGAATCAAATTGGTGACATTTTTGAAGCAATCCAATTTGGTGAGAACGCCATCCTCTGCATTGCAAATTGTGATCAGATCGGGAAAGCATAGTTTATCATAATCACAAATTATATCGGGTGTGAATAACTTCGGTTCGAGTGTCGTACAAAATGTATTGCCATCCATTAATCCAATTTGAGCGCTGCATGGTTGGTGTCGCAATGAATGCTTTCTCGGTGGTATAATATCGGCAAGAACTTCACGATGTGGCATCATAACTTCGGTAATTGTTTTATTTTGTGCATTTGCGATCAATCTCAATGAAGACATCGCTTGTTCACGTACCATTGAATTGGGGCTCGTTACTTGGCGTACAAGCTCTTGAACAACTTCGTAAATGGCCTTGTTTTGTGTTGTAACCAATTCTTCATTTTTGCATTCCTTGCCCAATGGTACCATTGTAATTGTAAGCATTTGCTCCAAATAACTTTTCGCCATATCGATTGCACCGCTCGAAACTTCACCGGCCAAATCCATAATCACAAACATGAATGCCTTGAGAAATACGAAAAGATGTTGATACAACCATCTCATTGCCATGTGTTGATAAAGAAATTTCAATGCTGTACATCCGCCCATTTTTGCATACCATGGACGTTCATAGCACAATGATGACATGCGTTCTGCCAAATATTGCATCATTGGCAAACGACAGGCACGTTCTTTATTGCCCATAATATTTGTTGCTGTTTCCAATATTAGAACCATTGCCAAATGGCCGGGTTTGCACAGTTCCTTTTCTTCATGTCCCATTATAACGGCCAATGCGTCAATCAGAATCAATGGATCCAAACCGTTGCTCACTTGATATGCATGCTTGTATGGGAATGGACCGGCCTGTTGTGCGATTGCAACCATTGTATAGTGACGAACAACAGCGACCATTGTTGGTAAGACATATTGACGCAATTCTTTAGTAGCGGCCGCAACAAACATACCGGTCAATGCGGTCTGTTGTGTTTGACGGGCTTGCGCATCGGGTGATTTGTAATGTGGTCCCGGTGATGTGCCAATGCTACCATCCATAAATGAATTATGCATAAATAATTTCTGTAGCGTATGTTTATCGTCGTCCAAACATAATGACGCTGCCAAATAGCATCGAATCACTTCCCAACTTTGACGCCAATAGAATGGATCGGTTGAACTATTTTTCAATGCATTGAATGCCGTTTCGATGACCTTATCAACGGGGAATTCAATTGGTTTTTGATGTTCGATGAAATGAGCAATGATCGCTGTTGTCTGTGCATTCTTTTCATTGTATGCTAAACGCTGTGGTTCCACCATCATTTTACGATTTCCACCGCCAAATTTACCCAAAACACGGAAAGCAACCTGAGCAGCACTGTCTTGATTACGTAATGTATGCCATAAGGCTTGCATTAGATCGGCTCGCACTGGATGAATGTGATCGTATAGGAAATCGGGTTGCAAATTATCAACACAAAGCTCAAGCGTACGCAATCCTTGACTAATCAATGTGTATGAACCATTCAATGCGGACACCAATGGATCCATCAACATTGGCAAATACGGCAAGAGTGATGAAAGACGTACGGGAACTGTTAAACAGAGCTCAACAAATAGATCTTTCATATGCTGTTTATGGAAACCACTTTGTAAACGATTCAATCCTTCAAGTAAATTTGGCAAAAGTGGCAAAAATTCTTGATACAATAAATCATGACTGCCACCACCAATTGAACGGAACAATGCACGAAGTAATAAGAAATAATTGTACGGTTCTTTGGCTGTCATTGCCAATTCCATTGAACGAATCACAATATTATGGAGATGCGGCCGTAACATATGCTCATTTTCAGCAGGAAACAAACTAACCGAACCAAAAACTAATTTGAATAAGCGTAAATACAGATTCGATCGTTCAATATTTGATCCCATTTCTTCCATACGTTCAAGCAAATATTCCACCAGAACCGTTGCAAATAGAGGCGATGTCGATGGATTTGCCAAGAATGAATTGGCAATCACTTGTAATGCTGAATTTTTGTAGATTCTTTCAACCATATATTCGGCTGTTGATGCGAAAATTTCTTGGAAATTTTGATTTGGCATCATTAAAAACTGAAAATTAAAAAAGAGACAAAACAAAAAAACCAAAATTAATGGTTTTACTTAAGTGAATTTTAATTTAATTTACTAGTCTTTTACCCTCTGAAAAAGAGACATTTTAACCGAAAATAAACTTACCACTCCACTAAAATGTTCCAAAACTTCTTTTTCTTCTTTCGACCGTGGTACAGGCAATTGTTGTCCACTTGTTTTGGCCACTTGTGTACACGCTGCTCCATTTCCGGGTGCATTGATTGTATAAATGTCTAACGCTTCTAATGCCCAATGCACCAAATCGATGAACATCAAAATTTCTTTGGGCTGAAACATTTTCGACTGTGCACCTTGAACGGTGGCTTCATTAAATGTTGATTTACAACTGGCCAAACCCCATGTAATGGTCTTTACACCACAAACCAGTGTTTTAACCAGACTTCTATATTCGGATACATTTAAATTGGCTGGCGGTGGAATGCCAATGGTGCTCAATTTTGACGTTTGATCGGTAACGGTCAAATCCATTGACAATGTGTCACGTGTTTCTGTGGTTGCGGTTGTGGTTGCACCACTGGTGGCTGCATTGGTAGCAGTCGATGCAGGTGCAGTTGGATTTTCCGTTTTCATTGTTTTCCATTTGCTCACAATTTGTGGCAATTGAATTTTTGCAATGGTATTAAATTTCAATGTGAAAATACGTAGCATGGTGATGAGCAAATCGCGAGCGGTTGTTGATTCGGCTTCGCTGCGTTGTCGAATGCAATCAACTAAATTCAACAATAATTTACAAGACATGGTTTGAATGCTTGTTGGCAGCGATTCGTCATGGACATTTTTCGAGAATAAATGTACCGCTTTTGCTAATACATGAATATTCAAATGCTGGCGCACATGATGCACGAGATCGGCAAGCGTTGAATAGGCAAGCGGTCGCAATGATTCGTGTGTTGTCCAACCGCGTCCCAAAAGTAAATCTTCATCAAACAATTTATCCATTGAACCGACAAATTTGTTTCGCAATTCGGTGGCCAAAATGTGTCGAGCAGCGATCAACAGTTCTTTTCTCAAATGTGCCACTTCTTTTGGGCATGTCTGTAATAAACCGATCATGCCTTTTACCATGGCTGCCGCATGTAATTGGATTGCATCCTGGAACAGCCGAATGATGTATGCCAAAAATGATAACGTTTTAATTTGAGCACCCATAAAATCAACATACACCTCCTTATTGAATTGCGGTTGACTTCGCACCACCGGCGATGGTTGCAACGAAATTGTTGTCATGATCAATGGCACGAATTCAGAAACCTCTTGATGTACATATTGTTTATAGATTTGATACATGAGCACCACAATTATTGGGAGCTCTTGTAAAACTTTCAATGATAGAATACCTTTTGGTATTAGATTATAATTTGAGTTGCTTGTTTCGCCCGGTTTCTTTTCCACTTGAATCGGTGTAATTGTATAGGTTTCATTTAGTAATTGTTCTAAATTCACATCTTTTAAGTCTTTGACACGGATTGGCGGACGTGGCTCAAATATTTTTGGCATATGCTTCGGTAGATCGGAGTAAATTTGTTTGACCAATTGTAAAAATAGATGAATTTCGGGATTGAATTGTGGCCGATACTGTTTGTGTAGTTCGATGATAATGCGTAAGCATACCAACACATTCTCTTCGTTATCATTTTGCAGTAATTTCAGCATTAATGACAATATGCTCGTCACATAGGGACGAAGAATTTCAGATGTTGGTAAACGATGAATCATTTCCAAGATCAATTTTCGAACCTATACGGAGTGGAAAACAACGTTGATATCAGATGTCAGCGGAGAATAAATCAAATTGAAATGTGGCGTGAGTCAATCACGAAATGCTAAAAAATCAAAATAAAATTTTGTGTTCATCACTTACCTGCTGTAGATTGTATTCGGAGATGAATAGCGGATCACCTTCGTGTAAAATTTTGATAAAAATTTTCATTGAATGCTCAAGAAATAGTTGAAAACCGCTGCACTGTGTAATCAGTTCAAAATTTTCGCTCAACTCCTGTGCGGCTTTCATTTTAATCTCATCTTTAGCTGTTGGATCGCCCAACATTGTAACATAGCTGCGAAATGTGTTCATTTGGGCGGCATCCACTTGAGCTGCCGATGCAGCATTTATTACAGTGGCGCTAGCCATTATTTATTTTTGTTTTTATTTATTTGCCTGTTGTTCGGGGAATCAGAATTGATCTTATAAGTGTGCAAATATTTTAACATTCACGCAAATTTATGCTACTTTTTTATCATTCATTTAATTCATATTTACATCAATGGAAGCGGACTCTGTACATATTCTGTATCGCTATATCCATTAACGAAACAAATTCACCGAACTTTCGATATTTATTCACAAATTCACTCGTTTTTTGTTACTATTTTATTTTATTCTATTCTATACAATCCACGCACGATGTACGTGAATGGCATGCAGTAGTCTGTTTGTTATTAAACTATTCGCAGCGGTATGTTTGTGTGTGTGTGTTAGTAGTCGCGTGATTCGTGACTCGGTTCGTGTCGTGAACTGAGCGGATGGTTTGTTGAAGACAAATTTTAATCAATCATTTTCGATATTATTTCAAACAAAAACTAAAACACTTTATTTTATTTTCAATTTACATCACTTTAATACTCTTTTTTCACTGGATATGTTTATATTCGCACTACGAATTTATTTTATTTTACTTCGGTGTGTACTGCCCCAAATGCACGATACAAATGCGGTTTTCAATTTTTCTGTCAAACTAACTTGCCTGTCAAACAGCCCGAACACACATTACAAACAATCCAAATTATAGTCATTTTTGGTATTTCGGTAAAAACATCTCTGCAATATCGACATTTTTCAGGCAAATGGGAAAAACATTGACATTGTGCATTTATTATTATTTCATGATAATCCATATTTCGGTTGAAAAAACATATATTTTTTAAATGCACTTAAATTTTCATTTTTTTACGGATTTTTTCATATTTCTTTTGTCTCAGTGCCAATAACTTCCTATAGTTATCAGTATTCAATTTTTACCAAACTTTCAGGTCATAAAAGAAGTTAATTCCATTCTGTAAAAATAGACGACAATATTTTGTTATTTGCATCATATTCGTTAATTAAAAATTTCTTCAGAACAATGTTGTAGTTCGAAGTCTTTTCCTTTCAAATTTTTCTGTCTATTTTTTTCATTCGACCCTTATATTTCTGTATAATAATAATAATTCAAAAAATTAGAAGACGCGAATGTTCCAAATTTTTTTGATAAAATAATTATTTTATTTTCCATGGCTTTATTTTGATTATTTTTTCTCAATAATTAAATTACAAAAAAATTATGTATCATAAACATAAAATAAGAGTTGATTGATTTAATGTTTTCGTCGATTTTTCGTCTTTTCTTTAGCTTTTGCAGCTCGTTTTTCTTTTTTCATACGTGGGTCGACCACCTTGAATCGTCCCTTGACACCGGCTGGTCGTCGAACACGTTTGCTTGACAAATGTTTACGAGCCACAACATAACTGATTTCCTCCTTTTTATCCTGCGCTTTCTTATACAATCTGAATGATAAAAAAAGAAAACAAAAATAATTGTTGAGAAGATTGTACATTGAAAAATTGAAAGTTCCAATCATCAAACTTACTTTCGAATCTGTCTCATTTTTTCTTGTGAGCTAGCATCATTGCTTTCCATAATTGATTCAGCCTTCTTCTTGGCCTTTTCAAAACGTTTCATGGCACGACGCTTCTTACGTGCTTTGGCCTCCATTACTTTCTTAATTGGACGAACATTCAATTCTTCAACTTTCTTTTGATATTCATCGACCAAATCCTTTGGTACTGGCGCCTCTTTAACCATATGAAGTGCTTCGTCCTTTACAAACCATTCTGGTAAATTTTCATCATTGAATGTATATCGATTCCAAGCCGCATCAAACAGATCGCGTTTGGTCTTTTGACTCTGTACGATCATTGAGCCTAAAGCTAATTCTTGTTCGTTCAACTTGATTTTCTTAGCCTTCACACCGCTACCATCATCATTGGCCACACCATCATCGTCACTATCGCTGTTTGCGGTACAAAATATTAAAATTGATAAAATATTCTAAATAAAAAGAATTCAACGAAAAACTAACCTGTCTGATGTGTCATTTCCATCGCTGCCTGCATTCTCTTTATACTTTTGACGACGTAATGCTTTTTTGCCTATAAATTGTTTCACCTCTTTTTCTTTTTCTTTTTCGCTAGATTCGCCAAGAACTTTAACACCTTTTGTTTTGTATTGATGACTAAGTTTATCTAAATCAAAATCTTCGCCCTCCTCACTGTCAGCGTCCATCTCTTTGAATTTTTCTTTATCGAACCACAAATTGACGCGATGATCTCGTTTTGTACTTTTGTCACGAACATCCAAGTCCATCAACAATGGATTTTCGTCACCTTTTTTCACTTTTTTCGCCTTCTTTGTGTCGGTTTTCTTCTTCTGTGATTCATCATCTTGGTCAGATTCATCATCAAAACCAAGTCCTTTCTTTCCAAGCTCTTCACTGTCATCCGAATCGTTATTCTCGCTGTCATCGGAATCATTTTGATTATCATCGTCATCCGCATAGAAGCCATCGTCGTCCAAATGACTTGAATCACGCTCGTATTTTTTATATTTTGGAATAAATTCGCTGTTGCCAGCATCATCATCCGGTAAATACATATCGGGTGCCATATCTTGAATACTTTCCAACTGGGCGGCGCTATTAATTTGTTTCAAACTAAACACCTCGGAATCTTCTTCCTGTGGACCCGAATCACCTTTGATAACCATTTTCAAATTGATTTTTTCGTTAAGCTTACGTCGTGCTTCTTGTACTTTCTTTTTCTTTCGTTTTTGATCTTTTAAATTTTCCGTTTCCAATTCTTCGATTTGCTTTTCAATCTCTTCGAATTCCATTTCTTCAACTTCCTCTTGTGTTAATGGTTTCTTTTTTTCTTCGGTAATGGTTTCAACCTCGACCTTTGCTTGTTCTTTCGGATAAAATTCGGCATTCAAAACCTTCCACCATGAAATTAAATTTTTCAAATCTTTACGACCCAAAACTTTGATATCTTTACAACACTCTTTAATTTCGTTTGTTGTTTTCTTATGCGATGCAATTTTCTCATCGTCAAATACAATTTCGCTGACTCCCTGCAATGCCGATAGTGCTGATGTACTTTTTATGAATTCCGATGCCATCAATTCATTCCGAAGTGAAAAATCTTTTTCAGTATATCCTTCTGGCTTGATGCGTTTCTTTTCCGGATGCAGTAAGCTAACCGTTTTTGTACCTTCTAAATCAAGCTCCTCAAACACGTATTTCGCTTCGAAGAATCGCGGATCAATTTTATCCGGTGCAATGAAATATTGGCACACAACGAATATTTCAGCCGATTCTTTACGCGAAGCTGACGGTTTTGTGGCATGAACTTTCTTGAATAGTTGCTTTAACACCCACAACAAGGCATTATAATCTTTCGATCGAAACACTTTTGTAATGAACCAACCGCCATTGCGCAAAAATTCACTGGCCAATTTCGTTGCTTGCAGTGTTAAACAGATTTGTTGATACGCATCGAACAACCAATTTTTACCAACGTTTGGAGCACCATCGTGCAATACAACATCAGCCTTCCATGTTTGAAGCTCTTTTTTCAATGATGTTCGACACTTATCGGTGGTAATGTCTTCCACCAAACTGGTGCATCCGTTGATTGATTTGATGGGATACAAATCAACACCGATCACAATGCTCGAAATGGGCATATTCTCTTTGGCAACTTGCATCCAACCACCGGGAGCCGCACACAAATCGATACATACTTGTGATTTTTGCAAGAAATTAAACTTACGATTCAATTGAATCAATTTGAAGGCAGCACGAGAACGAAAACCTGAAATTCAACGAAAAAACACCAACATTATTATTCAATTATCAAATGGTTCATTTTCATTCGATTTACATACCAGTTTCTTTTGCCAACTTGTAAAACTTATCTTTACGATCCTTTCCAACCTTTCCTTTTTTCCCCATTTTGTGTTTAATTTGTTAGATACACAATTCGAATAAAAATAATCAAATCGACCGTTTAAAACGAAATTATTCGGTGAATTAAAGGAAAAAAAACACAATTCAATAAACGTATCGTGGTTTCCCGTTGACAAGACCCACGTGTTTATGGTGAGCGCAGGGCACAAGCATTTCACTCTATTTTGTATTGAAATGTCAGATTTTTATTGGTATTAGTGTTGCCAGCGTGCAAACACGCACATCGGATTGTCAGAATTAGTATTGGGAACATTTTTCGACCACGAGTACGCGAATCTGATCAAAATACAATTTAGCCGTATACAGAATTGTCGAATCGATTGAGTATTTTTCGTTTAATTTTTTTTTTTTTGTTGTTTCGTAAATTGACATTCCTTCAACATATATGGAGGAGTTATAGTTTGTGTTTGTGCTACGTCATATTATAGTTTATGTTGTTGCAGAAATGCCGATTTACCGGACACAAAACGTCATAGTTCATTAGTTTTTGTAGTGCACACACAATTATCACACTTCTATAAACATAGTCAAGACACAATCACACAGAACTATTTATGTAAACCACATTGAGTACACACTGTGTTGTTGAATGTAAACTCGCATGGATTGCTTTGATGTGAAATTTGAAGTGAAATACTTACTTGCGTTAATATCAATATTTGATTGTGAAATTGTGTAGATTTTGATTGTGATTTCGATTATTATCGTTTTTTTTTTTTTCATTAAGTGAATGTCATTCCATAATTAATCTTAAAAACAGCTTAGATTCATTTTGGTGATATAAAAAAATCACTCAACATGTCATCCGACCAAGTGAGTTGAATTTTCTTTTGTTTATGTTCATTCTGAAAGTTTCTTTGAGTATTTCCAAATACATTTTTTTTGTTAAAGAGGAATTGTCAAAACTCCCCAACATTTATGTGTGCGTGAACATAATCAAATTAAAAACCTCTATCGAGGTGAAGAACGAGTGACGATACCAAAATTTGAAACACAAAATTTCTGATATCAATTTTGTGACGAAAATAGTTGGTAGATATATTTTCTGTGTACTATGAATATAAACTTAATATACATCTACCAACTATTTTCGTCACAAAATTGATATCAGAAATTTTGTGTTTCAAATTTTGGTATCGTCACTCGTTCTTCACCTCGATAGAGGTTTTTAATTTGATATCAATAGTTTTGTAAGCGCTATTTTCCAAGTTAAAGATTCAAGACATATGAATTTGAATATTTTTCAAATTCAATGAAAATATGGATTTTTAGGTTATTTTTGGACCAAATTTATACAAAAAATGGTTCATAATGAGGAACAGAGGTATTTTTCAGTGGTATGTGGTATGCATATTGTTTTATCTTTGACTTGAGGCTTAAATTGATGAAATTTTCAAGAGAACCTATGCAGTCTTTTTCGAAAAAATGTCCGTTATGTGTGCGGTCAACGGTCAATTTTTGGTTTTTTGCCAATTTGCCACATGAAATTTTTAAGTCGCAATTGACACCACTTGAGAGCTTACTTTAAGACCTTTCGAACAAATATGCATTTTTCCTGGTTATGTCAAGTCTAGGTCCCACAGCGACCGTATGAAATAATGGCCATTTTTGCATGACCTTTTACATAGTTTGCCATTTATACTAACACTTTTGTAGATTTCTTTTAATTTCATTTGTGACTAATCGCATGCACCTCTTCCGACGATAGCCCACCTTCTGGCCTGGTGGGAGGGGACATAAGATTCGGTATTTTATCGATCTTATGCGAGGAAACTATCAAACATGTAGTTATTTGTTGTTAGGATTTCATATTTCATACATGTAGACATTTTTGTGAAAATTCGAATTTGGGTACATTTGGCCGATTTTTGGTGGAATAGCCATCCAAAACGGTCGATATTTTATTCAATTTTGTTTGGCTAGTCACAGAGCATATCTACAGAGTCATTGGAGTACTTTTTGGCCCATAAAATACTTCAAATGTTAAAAGTAACATTTTTTGTCCTTTTTGGCCATTTTTGGCCATATTTGCGCTATCAAATGCCATATCGTGAAGACAAGAATTTTTAGGGATATAAGCTATGCGGCATTTTATAGCTTAGACTTGGGCCTAAAAATCGGTGAAATTTTTAAGTGACCATGAAAGGCTAGTTTTCGAGCTAATGACCATTATGTGTCCGGCCAAACGGTAACTTTTTGGTTTTTGGCCAATTTGGCCACTCCAAATTGAAATTTTTGGACCGCAAATGGCTCCATTCGATAGCTCACTTCAAGACCTTTCCAATGATATGCATATGTCCGGGGGGTGTTAAGTCATGGCGCTTCGGTGACCATAGGAAAAAAAGTCGAAAAGTGACTTTTAGAGGCCGGCCATGGCCAACATGGCGGCCATACCGAAAAGTGCCGGAACAAAAAAGTCTTAGTTTTTTGTGTACTTTAATCACAGAAAGTTTCAAAAAGATCAAAAACAAGTACGCAAAATTGCGCACAGACACATACACATACCAAATGACTTTTATAGGAAAATCATATGAAATTTTCAAAATGCGTAATTTTTCGAAAAGATTGATCGATTTTGACGGTTAGGGGGTCGTTGGAAAGGTATTGAGCTCTAGAATACGAATATCGATGTTTCAGGGGTCGACGACCTCATTTAGTGCCATCTATGGCCATAAAACTGAATTTTGACCCTTTTCTTGAAAGGACCATATTTTGAAGACAGGTGGACCGATTTTCGAATTTTTTTTTTCTTGATCTATGGCCCAAGGGCTTTCCAACCATACAACAATCGCGGCTGAAGGCC